TTCAGGCACCCAGCTGCTTTAAAATAAACCTGCTGCACTTCAAAGCAAAAAGCCTTGCTTAGAGTACGTACATGTGATACATAATATGTAGGAAGATTAAAGAGGTTTAATTGAAATTCAATAACCAGCTGTGAAAATATTGCCCCATGGTCTTCCAACCCTTTAAACTTTGTGTGGAATTATTGCATTAATTGTACCAAGAGGCAGTTCAACTCTATTAATGTGCTTGTTTATCTGATTCAGTCCGAATTAAACCTATGAGATATAATTTTATTAAGCAGTAGCAGTTAGAGTAAGAAACATTAACAACAGCAGAAGTTATAGTAAAAAGTTTTAGTCTGTTGGTTTGATTCTTCCAAACTCTTTTGTAATAATAATCATTTCTGAAGCCCAGATTGCCCTTATTGGTGTGTGTGAATGGGGATAGTTAGTTCCTGATGAGCAGTTGGCAGCCTCTCCCATCAGTGTATGAATGTGTGTGTGAATGTGACACTTAGTGTACAACTAAGGTGCTACATAAGTTCAGTCCAATTTCTTTTTGTCCAAACTATTGCCATTATTGGCCATTAAAACATAAAACGTGATCCTTTCTTTAATCCTCAAACTGACAGACAGAGGTTTTACTCGTAACACCACAGCAGGAGAGAGTGTGAGGTTTGTTGTCGTTGGAGGTGGTGGCGACCCTTCAGGTAGGTGACGGTGGATCCCCCACAGTTTGTTTGACATCCATCTGTTGAAGTGTATAGATGGATGGCAACCTCCAGTATCCACAGCGAGGCAACGCTCACCTTATTTTTATTTATTTTCATTATTTTTTTTATTTAATCCAGTTAATCCAATTATTTTTTTTTCTCCTTCTCATAGTCTCGACTTTTATGCCTTTTGCAGTTCACTTTCAATATCTTTTCTGTGGTGCTACACAAATACCGCTGCCTTGACTTCAGGAAGCCACCTAGTTGAGCATCCCACCCTGTCAGCAAGAAGTGGACAGGATCTCTGTCCGCTGCAGAGTGCTGTCCCACCGCCGACCCCTCAATCTCAGCTTCTATGAGAAGAAAAACACCCCAACAGCGATCAGTGAGGATCTTTCTTCCTACATGACATTCCTGTCTCCAGGGGCGTTTATATTTAATGTGCATTCAGGTCTTAGCCCCGACCCGAGAGCAGGGTCTGCAGGGATACCCCCCCCCAGCTCTCCATCATCTGCTGTTTCTTTTCTGAAAACTCTTTACCTATAGTAAAATTGATTGTTCTTTTAGCTTGAGTTCATTCCGGAGCTGCACTGTGACGTAAAGTTATACAACATGAAATAATAAGGAAATCATTTTTTATTGTCATTTTTATTTATTTACATTAATTATGCTGCGTATAAGTTTGGCACACTAGTTAAACAATCATAATGAAGAGAAATGTACACAGTAAAAAAAAATTTACTATGCTAAATTTTGACCCTTCCTTCTCCTGTGGAAAAATCCCAAAAGATTTGAGTTATGTTTTTCCACCTAAAGCTGAACACACATTTCTCTTTTTAAACCCCTGACACAATGACCTGCTGATGCCTGTCTGCTGTTAGGAGATGCTAGTATGACAAGTTTGTACATTTGGACCAAGCCGGCTATCTGTTTCCCCCTGTTTCCAGTTCTTTATCTAAGCTAAGCTAACCGGCCTGGCTATAGCTTCATATTTACTGCATGTTTATGAGACTGGTATCGATCCTCTCATCAAACTCTCCGTCAGAACGTGAAAAAGCATATTTCCCAAAATGTCAAATTATCACTTATAACTCCTCAACGCTCCGTGAATGTCTGCGAGATCTGGTGAGCCAACATGATGAAACTGAAGAAAGAGTTACAAAACACAAAAGATACAATAAATTATAAAGATGAAAGACGTGACAGATGATGTACAGTGATCAGAGCACATCTGGACTTACTGTACGGCATGTATTAGTAGACCTCACTCACTCTAGCACACTGTGTGGTGCATCACACCTATACTATTAGGAGGTGTTTATTTTCTTTAAAATGCCACTATTATTGGACTTGCACTTTAACCTCGGCTTTGTCCTCATTAGTCACTGTCAGCATTGATGTATGTGGCAACACTCGGGCCCACAACTGTTTTCACTTCTAATAGGGGGAACAGGTTTTAAAAGTCTCTGTGACGGGAAAATATTTGTCTTATAAGGGTCAAACTTATACCACAGCATGAGATGTCTTCCTGTTACAAGAGTACAAAGCTACGCCTGTGAAGGAAAACACACACTCAAAAATCTTTATTAAATCCAATAAAAGTTTAATGCAGAATACACAAATACTGAGACATGCTGATTTTTTATCCCTGCAGCCTGTGTTCACTGTGTTTACTGATGCATGTACTTCTACTACTTATGAATGAACTTCCTGTTCCCTGTCCCCTGCCGCTACCTGACATAACGGGGCAGGTCACCAAAAAACAATCCACATTTTTTACCTCTTACCTATAGAAGTGTGTAACTATGCACAGGGGTCGAGTTATCATCACAATCTAGCGTTGTGGGAGTCTCACGAACAAGTAAAGCTGAGGTGGAGATAAAAAAACTAATATCCTAACAGGTGCACCTTCCGTGACAAAAGGGGACTTCACCGCTCATTACTTGGTTCAACAGTTACACACACACACACACACAGACACACAGGCACTGGGAAAAGTCAATAGTAGTGTTTATACAATAACTTTATTTGACACGTTGCTAGTGTGACACTCACTGTAAACAAAAAACTAACCTCCATGCCAAAAAACAAAACAATTAAAAAAACTGGAAAAAATCATTTCACCTCCTCTCTGTGTGATGATTGTGATTGTGTGACCTGGCAGGTAATTAGGATCTTCTGCATGTGGTGGCTAAAAATTGGCAAATTGTAGATAATTGTACTTGCTCTCTTTTGCACACACGTGCCAGTTTGCTTGAATGAATGAGAAATTCAAATCTGTTGTTAACAACAAACCAGTTGAGAGATTTGGACCAAAGCGATTGAAGAAAAGTATAACTTTAAACATGTGTTTGCTGTCCCGGAGCTTCCTCACTGGTGACTGGTGAACACTGCATTACTTTCTGGTTAAAAGCTCATTGTTATAACTCTAGCTATTCAGCTTATAAACAGGCATATGTAGGCCTGAACTTATACTGAACTGAACAGCTCCAACCAGCCACAGACTGCAGACAGTCACAGCTTTATGAATAGCGGCGCCATCTTGATTATCCCGTCCCATGACTCGAGTCTTTGAGTCTACAAATATTTGAACAGAATGCAACAAAACTTTAGCAAATTAGCAAATCGGTCCGTTCTGGGCTACCGTAGAAACATGGCGGTTCAACGTGGTGGACTCTCATATATACAGTCAATGGGTGGATTACAAAACACAATAACTCCTATATTCATCTGATTAAACACAAATGAAAACATACATATGGATCATTATATTCCATTTCCTAAATATTACACATTTTAAATCATATTTAGTTTTTTTCCCTTCAGCTGATCAATGTGCAAATACTAGCAGAGATGGCATTTGTCTGACCCTCAGTGGTGCCCTGCTGCTGCTCTGTGACTTAATCATTTTTGGGCATTGCCACAGTGGTCTGGACACATCACAGTCTGCACTTTCACAGTAAAACCACAAGCATATTTTGACTTCAATACTATACCGACAGGGAGGCCATCTGACCCTCTTTGTTCTACAGGACTGCTGTGTCAGTCGATTGAGAGAGAAATGTTCTTAATCTGAGATCACTGGTTTTTCTATTTTTTTTACTGGAAGTCAGTTGAGATCAGGTGAATATAGACAACTGGTCCAAGCCTATATTGGAAACTCGCCCCTTTTCTGTGGTCTGTTATCACCATCAAACCAAATTTTATTGTCACATGTAGCAGATATGAAATCTCGTGACTGTTCTCTGACTCTCTGCTCCTTTGGGCTCCTTAGTTTATATGATCTGTGGGATCATTGCTGGGATTTATAGATTATAGCCAATTCCTGTGCAGATTTTACTAATATATTTTTTTCTTTATTGGGTGACTGACATATGGTACTGGGTCCAAAACTGAGTGGTGTTTAAATCCAACTGCACGGATAATATTTTTCTTTCCATGCACACGGTAGAGGAAGAACGTTTAGACCACATCAGATCTTAATATTGTTATTGTCTTAGAACACTTATGTAGAGCCATCCACCTCCCAACTACTCATTTCTTTAAATATTTACAGTTCGGACACTTAAATAAATTCCATTCCATAAATTCCCTTACACACTAGGATTAAATGGGACCTTATAACAGAACCTATTTCACACCAGAAACACTCCATAAGATAACTGAATCAATCTCCTTTGGGAAAAATTGGGAAGAACCAAACTTTGTAACAGTGCTCTGCTTGTTTACAGCCATTTACTTTAGTGTTGTTTCAGTGAAGAAGGGCCAGGGGTCTACTGAAGCAGCAGTAAGGTCTTTGATGGTCGCTAAAGCAAAAATCCGGGTGTCGCAAGAGTTCGGGGAGGACTTTCTCATCTGATTAAGATGACGTACAGCACCCACTACCTCCAACCCGCTGACTAAGACTGGTTTTAAATTCAACCAAACTTATATTATTTATTTTAAATTGCACATGTACAGTTTAGTATTTTATCCAAGCTGCTTGCTAATTAAAAACTATTTTTAATTGCCCACCATTGTACTTGCACATTGCTTATTGCTTATAGTGTATATATTTTTCAGTTATAGTTTTGTATTTCTTTTATATTTTGTTATATTTTTATCTGTGATAAGATTGTACTTGTACACTGTACTCTTTTTTGCACTATATTCCCCAATGCTGCTGTGTGTAACTTGAATTTCTCCTACAGGGGATTAATAAAAGTATATCTTATCTTATCTTATCTTAGCTTGGGAACGCCTCAGGATTGGGAAATTGTTGCTGGGGAGAGGGACGTCTGGATGATCTTGCTTACCCTGCTGCGACCCCAACCTGACCTCGGATAAACAACAAAAAATGGATAGTTTTAGTGCAGGTTTACGAATATATATCTCAACAACAATTGTCAGTTTTTGTACAGAGTATGAATGTGACTTTGGTGATCCCTGACTTTTCCTCTATTGCCACCAACAAGTTGTCATTGTTGTTTTGAGTGAAATGTCAAAACAACTATTGGACAGACTGATAAAATTTGGTACACACATTCAGGTTTTCATCAAGTGCCATCAGTTTAAGAGCTTATTAGCACATGTGAACTTGCTAACTACGATGGTAAACATTAAAGCCTACTCACTAAACATCAGATTGTTGTCATTTTGAGTATGTTAGCATGTTGACATTAGCATTTAGCTCGAAGCACCATTGTGCTCTGTGAAATAGGCCTATCTTTATCATTTTGAGGAATAAAGTGTTGAAGCAGCATTTTGAATATAAAAAGAATGTTTTCTTTGTTTATTACATTTTTAAAGGACCATAATAGGATTTAATGGCACCTAGCAATGAAGTTTCAGATTGCAGCTAACTGAACACCGCTCGCGTCTGTATTTGATGACCTGGGAATGAGAACGGGCTGTGTGTAAGTGTGTAGGAGAAGCTACATTGAGCCAGTGTTTGGTTTGTTTGTTCTACTGTAGAAACATGGTGGTTCAACGTAGCAGACTCAATGGGAGGCGACCTGCAGCGTCTGTAGATAAAAACTTCATTATAAAGTAACAAAAACACAACGATTCCTATATTCAGGCGATTATTCACTAATGAAAACATACCTTTGAATTCCATTTCAACCCAATGATTCTCCTTAATGTTACACAGTGGACCTTTAAGTACTCTTGATTGCAGACTCATTCCTACTTTAATGAATTCATGTAAAGTTATTCATGTTTTGCTCGATACATTCTGACAATTTTCCTGAATCCATAAATCTTTGACTGGAAGTCAGGACCTCAGTCTGAAAGTGTTTTACAGAAGAAAAGTACCCTGTACTTTCCCACAGAGCTGGCGCACTGTCAGTTCTTCTTGTTTTTTCCCCAACATCTTGTTGCCAGACCTAACCTCACACTCTTCAGGGTTTGCCATGCACTGCTGTGTGCTTCCACATAAACATGAAATTAACTGTGCCACAAAAAAAGGCATCAAACAAACAGGTGTGTATATTTTTTTCTAAAAATATCTTGCATTAGGAGAATAATGAAGCTTTGTTTTGCTGCCCAGAGTTGTATAAAGATGTTCTGGTGTATATTGGGTTATATCATGTTTACACGTTACTGCATTACAATATTACTGTGGGATAAAGGAGCCAATTTAATTTAAACATAATCAGCTGAGGCTGTTAATGTTACTTTGAGTTAAAGTCAACCAATGTACATTACATGGATTCAGACTAAGTCAAAATTTCTAAATGGTATCATTGTAAATCTGAAAGGTGAATTTCAGTATGATTTTGTTTTCATATCAAACTGAAAATTTCAGAATGTTCAACAAGAGGGACCACATATATGATGACTTAAAGTCCAATTTGTTTTGATAATTCATTTATTCAATACATTTTTGTTCAGTGATTAATCCCTTGTAATGTACAAAAGAATGTTTACATGTATTTACAGTAAGTCACATGTTTGAGGGGCCTCATAGGACATAAATCAAACTCACACACACAGATGATACCACATAAACATGCCAGTGAAACCTCACGAAAACCTAATATTTATTACTACGTTTGGCTGTGTGAGAACGCAACTGTGGTAGAAATTTATTGGATATGATATAAGTTTAATTTGTGCATTTACATGGTCAGTTAAGTCGAGAGGCCTCTTCATGTGGCATGCTTTAAGCAAGGAGGCTTTGGATGTCCGGAGGTGAATTAAAGATGACTTACTGATTTGATGTTCAGTTTTCCCCTTAAAACCCTGCCACTCAGATATTCTGCTCGAACTGGATGCTTGCACTCAGATATATTGTTGCTTGCACAGATTTCCTCCAGCGGTTCTTCTCACAAGCTGCTTCTGTCTCTCAGATTTATCCTCTTCACTTGGATTTGCAATTATCCTGTCACACAAACAGAATGCCAGATGTAGTATTGACCAATGAAATGATCCCTGCCTCTTTGTTGGTACGAACGCTTTACTTCTTAGAGCACAATTGTAAAAAAAAAAATAATAATAATAAAAAAAAAATAAAACGTACTTGAGGTCCTTGACTTTACCGGTCCATGTTGGACAACTATTCGCAAGGCTCCCTTTTCTGAGTCATTAAGGTGATGCACACAGACGAGAGGCTCACATAGCTATTACAGTAAAAGAGTACAGGCACTGATATTACCTGATATTACCCATCCCTTTATTCAAAAAGTTGTAAAGAAAGCTAAATAAATACATGTAATAAAGCCTTGGAGGGCAGGAGAGGATGAACCCGGATAAAAGGTAACATAAGTTCCCATAAGAGACACTCTAAGTAAAAAAAACGTCATCAGCCAATAATACACCTGGCTATGTATTGGTTGGGGAATTCTGACTGGGTCATTGCACAAAAAATCAGAGAGCAGAGGAGACATTTGAGAGCAGACCTTTCATGAGCCTGAGTATGAAGAGAAGGGCTGAAGCTGGAGGAAATCTGTGGAAGCATCAATATGTCAAGCATTTAATTTGATAACCTGACGCAGCCAGATATTTTCTTGCTTCCACAAAAGTTGTCATTGGAAACGGTTTGTAAAATGGCAGACACTTTCATAAAATACTTGGCAGGTGATTGGATGAACCATCTGTTTATAACAGGCAAACCTCAGCCAATAAAGCTGCTTTCAATAAAGAAATACTCTCCACACCTGATGTAACTGATGCTACAGTTGTAACTGATGTTGTCACTCCTAAACCAAACCTGTAGCTGCCAGTAGTCCCTCATCAGACGCTAATCGGTCCGAACCACTGTGGTTTGGACACAACCACGTAGCTCGAAGCCTGGCAAGACGGATTCTAGTGATGTTGTGAATCCTCGAAGGGTAAACAGAGAGCAGAATCAGAGCGAACCCAAGTAAAGGCTTATTATAAAATCGTCATCAAAATCAATGAATCATGTTCTCAAACTGAAAGACCACGCTTTTGAACAAAGATAGGAAAAAAATGCCAGTACACCAAGATCTTCTCTGATATCAAATTTGTGTTATAATGAACTTTTATATTCAAGGAAGGACAACTGAGGCTAATCGAGTTATTCTTTTATTCAAAATCAGCCACTGATATTTTAAATGATACATGTTGTGTATGTTCAGGTTTTAACTCTTGTGTATGATTTCACTGATGTTTAGGAATGTTTGAGTTGTAGCCTATATGCCCTATACATGCAGTTGACACATTTATATTACAAAACATTTCATTTGCAAACATTTTACAACTTAAGACCTTTATGTTTTCGATACAGTAAAATATGTTATAGTAAATGTAGCAGGAAGTGCTTTCCATGAAACTTCCTGTGTCCATTTGATGGATTTTTACAAAACAAAATGTTTATATTTCTGCTTAATATTCAGACCAGCATATTTTTCTTTTAGTTGTACCTGTTGTATGTCCTCCCTTCCTCACAACATCAACAACAACAATAAAGCATCTGTTTATCTCTTTCTGTTCTTTCTACATTTGCGTTTTGGTCATTTGGTGGTTAAACCTATAGTTCCTCATAAGCACCTGGTTGTGCTCAGGCAGAGAGGCTGTGGTCTCGGTGAGGCAGCATGCTGGTCAGCGGGGCGAAGGGAGGAGGGTTGGACTTAGTGCAGGGATTTGATGATTAAGGAAAACTCTGTGTGGCAGCTGTCCTTCCTGCTGGGGGGAAATACATCGAGGCTCCCTGGATAAGCAGGAAAGGATAAAAGGAAGAGAGACAAAAGAAATGATTGAAACAAAGAAAGAAGTTGACCACATACTTCAACAAATGTGTGATCTCACAATGATTTCCAATATTCTGATGAAACTTTGCCAATAATCAAACCAACCACATTTCACCTTTTTTGTCAAACTGCTGTTTTGGATCAAGAATAAATGTTCACACTCTACCTTTGATTGGTTTCTACTGAGGTGAATTCCAGTAAACAGCCTCGTTGAGCATTATAAAAACTGGTTAATTGTTCTGATGAAATCACAGCATTCTGGGTGCTAAGATTTATTGCACAAATCAAACCAGTTCTGCCACAACCAGATCAGTTAATCAAATGTGGGTGGTCAAGTGTGGAAACCTCAACAGTCTTTTCCACAATTTCTGAATTAAAGGCCCCCTGTAGTGGAAAACTATTGAAATGTATTTATACAACTGGTAAATAACTCAAGAGGGTCATTCCAACCTTCATGCACTCTTTGATGTGAGATGAGGTTCAGGCCATCCAGTGCTAATGATTACAAAACAGATATGCTTGTGGGTAACTGGTTCTGCCTGATAGCTTAAGAACAAGTGGTGGGACAAGTTTACATGTTAGTGTTGAGTTTGCTTCCTGGGAACACTAATAAATATATAATAATATAAATAAATACATTATAGTTCAGGTGCCTCATCTGAGGTGACATGTTAATAAAGTATAAATAAAAGACTGTGACTGGATGGAGCCGTTGTATTGTGGCCATTTTACTTTCTGCCACAACCAAATAATGTATCTTTATATACATACATCATATCTCCTGAACCAACCATGGTAACACAGAAAATGTATTGACATTTGATGGTGAAAGATTACAATGATACCATATACAACATCATAAATTGTCCAGGTGAATAGTTAATAGTGACGTTGTGAGAATGATACAAAAAAGTTAATCTGACCGAACCACACAACAATAACTTGTGATTCCAGCCATCACAGCAAGGAATTTTGTGTCGGGTAATGTAAATTAGTTATGGACATTCAGTTTAGTTTCTAGTTTGCCAATCCAGTGAGGGAATGGCGGACTCCACCACTATAAAAAAAAAGCTTAAAGTGAGTTAATTACTGGATGTAAATATGCTTAATGACTGAAAAAAAGCGAAAAATTGTGTTTCTATAAATGTTAAGGATTACAATGTTTATGTTTTTTAAGCCTGCATTGTTGGTTGTGGCTTCTTTGTGTTCTTCTACCTTTTACGGCTGATCGTGGTACTGCAGGAAAACACTGAGTTGTACTCATCCAAACTAGTGGTAAAAAAACTCTGCAAGGTACTTTTTAACTAGAGTTGAAAATATCTGTGCTAAGCTCTGTTTTGAGGTAAATCGAGGACAAACAAAATGTGATTTGTATTGGGATGAATCAGTACTTCAAATTATGCAAATTAAGTAAATGGGGAAAACATCTTTCTTTTTGGAGCGTGATCCTGGAAACAGTGAGACATTAATGTGATCCTCAGTGAGAACTAAATAATTAGAGGTTTGCTGTGGGTCATGTTCACATCTGAACCAGATGCCAGTGTTTAGTCACATATTTCCACCTGCATTTAAATTTAAAATTCAAATTGCTAAAAGCGTGTTGTATGTCTGCATTAAAATGCCTAAAATCAAGTTGTAACTACAGAGAAAATGGATTCTGGGTAGTGATGGTGCATACTAAGTGTTTTAACAAGATTCACATGGAGTTTTTATCCACCCACACACTTATAGACCAAATAACTGGATGAATGAAACCTTTGATACACCAAAAACAGCACAGACGTCATAAAATATATCACTGCATAACTACTGTATACAACTATAATTGTAGTCATTATATAAATTCTCATTATAATTATCAAGCTAAAAGCTAAAAAAAATATTATTATTTGGATTTCAGGAACCTTTTCGAAATACTAGAATAAACTAGTTTAATTTGGTTTAACTTATATTAGACCAAACTAAATATAACGACATTAAAAACAACTGGCTAAAACTATTATACTAAAACTATTTTTATTAAAAGAGAAACAAAACTACCACTGACAACAACTTTTATTTTGAGTACCACAAGTTAAGAGAAAGTTAAAAGGTACAAACCTGATATCTCTTTTTTATATTTTCATTTTCATTTTTTTTTTATGTAGGTGGAAAGTTTTTATGACTTTGTATTGTTTGTAACAAAGAACATCCATAATCAATAATGAAATAAAATGAGTAAAAAAAGAAATTAGTAGGGTACTTCCTGGATATAGACGGTGGTCGTCTATCAACAGCTGTTGTTGAGGGTTTTGCTCAATAGATGGATGTAGGGTGGAGATGAAGAGGTGTCGTTTGTGTGACTGCAGGATGGTTAACTGCACGGATGATAGACTACACACATACGTATGTTTGTCGTGATATCTTTTGCTGGTGTGTGTGTGTGTGTGTGTGTGTTGACCACATACTTACTGGGTGGAGCTGGTGGACTGTGTGTGTGTTGGCATTCATCAGCAGAGGAGCTGTAGGGGAAGATGCTGTGCTCTCAGAGGCCTCGGTCACAGGGCTGCTACTCCTCTGACACAAAACAAAGAGAAACACCCACACAATATTATTATTATTGTATTAAGTACAATGTTCTCTGATGTAATGTGCACACATGAAAAAAATAAAACACTCGCATTACAAATGATGAGATAGTCCAATTATAAGTCTTAAGCTAGCAACACACTCTGATTAGAAGATTGTTTTGGCCATGATCATGGAAAGTCTGCACAGTTTGTCTTGTTTACATTTCAAATGTCTCATCTCCCAAATGAGCAAAAGGTCAGTTGGACCCATCACAATTAAAACATGTCTTTTATTTATGACTGTAATCTGAACAAACCTAAATGTGATCCAATAGTTTGGATAACTGAAAAATGAACAGAGGTGACTGTAATCTGCAAAATCAGTTCAGTCACACACACTTATGTTAAGAAACTGACAATTTATAGCAAATAGTTCGACAGTTAGATTTGGCAGCTGTTTGAAGGAGACAAAAACACAAATATAGAAATCTCTCATGTGAAACAACCCAGTCTTCTGAATTTTGGCATGAACATCTTGTGTTCATGTAGGACCTCATCACTCACAGAAGAAACCTGACTGAAACGTTTTAACCTAACCTTTAAATCAACATAAAAAATGTAAGGAGGATTTGGAGGGAGCTGTGGCAGCAAACTCGTCTGGCATATGCGAGTGTATCAGCAGAGTAAGAAGTGTCAGGTTCTAATGTTATAATGTCCACCTGTATGAATATGATTGGAAATTACAAAATATTGTGCACGAACCAAGAGTAACTCGTGACATCACCCATTGGTTTATGTGGCACCTTTTTGAAGCCCTGAGTTTGGCATTAAGGCCGTCGGATAAAAAAAAAAAAAAAGAACATCATGCTGTATGGAAGAAGACTTGAAACAAGATATTGAGACCATAAACTCATTAGGGAACTGTTCACTGAGCTAATAAATTGAGTTAAAAGTAGGGTCATTTTTCCATAAGACTCCATAAGAAAACCATAAGAACCAGAAGCCAACATCCGCCGATCTCCTCCACCAATGTCAAACACACAGCATTTTGTAAAGCAGCTGATTTAAAAAAAACGAAGAAATGAATGTGAACTGTTCATTTTAATCAGTGTGCACTGAACTTTGAGCAAGCTCTTGTTTAGCATGAACGTGCACTGTGACACTGGTGAAGAGTGAATGAATCAGCCATTCAGCTAATGCAAGAACACCTTAAGTGCTCTGCCTGAACTAACACTAACATCCATCTGTTCAATGTGCGACGCTGAATGTTTTCACAGGTGGGTCATGTACACATTATTCTGCAATTGTGCAATTCTGCTTCAATTTTTCACATCCTATTCAGCACACTTGTCACTCGGTGCACACAGTTAGTGGCGAGAAGTCTAATCGGGTCATTTTAGTGATGCAACACACATTCCTCCCTGTAAAAACCTTTGATGAATCGAGGCCTCGGTATTGTTTTGGTCTCCATTTGGGTGGTCTGTCTGCAGCATGCTTGAGGTTAAATCCAAAACTGTTGGAGGCTGCAGATCTATAAATTTTACAAACTGTTAGTTTCCCTGTCTTTTATGTATAATCTACTGCAGCCAGATAGAGGGGAAAAAACATAAAACATCTGCAAAACAATTAACATAAACATATTTACATGACAACTAATCATGTCATAGGTATGAAGCAAATAATAATTTGCCACTCCTACAGCTCTGGAAACTTCTGGGACTCTGATATTAAAAGTCTTACACAGAGGAGTCAGCTATCAACTCAGTACTGAATCATATTAAATTGAACAAAATGAGGAGGAACTTTTAAATACATTCTTATAGTTAAAACATTATTATTAATAATATTAACAACTGATTTAGAGAATTATGGCAGTTCAGGGAGGTTAATCCCTACATTGTTCCAGACAGGAGACTTCCTGTGCGATACAATGCAAATACACTAGTTTTGGCAGCATGCAGTGAAGGACGACGAGAGCCTGTGTGGTCTGCTGGCATGTCCTCCAGTTTAGGCTCACTCCGGCCAGACCAGCCTGATCTCTGCCAGCATGAGCTTTTTCATAGACCACAAACACACTCGTCACACCCGTTAGCGAGACAGCTAAAGCTTTGCGGATCCAGCAGACAAAATGTTTTTCTTGACTGACTGGTTGGTCCATAAAATTAAACATAAAGAAGTCTTCAAATTGTTGTTTTGTAAGTATATATATTCAGTTTTAAGGGTAAGAAAAGCAGAAAATATTCACATTTGAAGAAGCTGGAAATATTGTGCTATTTAAAAAAATTAATTGATTATGAAGGAACGTTCTTTCCTTCTCTTTCCTCTATTCTCTTTCTCTAGGAATGAGCAGCGAGCAGAGACAGTGACCTTTGTCTTGGGGCATAGCCTTAAGACACACCTCTACCATCAAATCTGTTTATTATTAAATTTGGACACAGACATACCAGATATTATTTTGACATCAAACACCACATATCTAGGAGAGTGGAAACCAAACTTTTGTTGACACTAGTTTGTTCCCCTGTAATGACCTCTATATTCTCCTTTCAAACCTCAAAACCACAGTAATATGATGAGCATGCAAAGCATATTTCAACATATATAATTTAGAAGATTTTATCAAATGGTTTTGGAGTCTTTAGGGAGAGTTTGCTGGGAAAAGTGTCTTTGACTTAGTGTCTGATGTTTTTACAAGCGGAAGCTGCAGGAGGAGGAGTGAAGGAATGCTTTTGATGAACCTTGTTGATGGACTAGGGCTTAGCATCCAGAGACAGTCCTGGGTAACCCTGCTGATACATATTATCAGGAGGTGAAAGAGTTCTTGCTCCAGTATTAGGAAAAAGTGCTTGAACAGGTACATTAACTGATCTCAATAAGCATTTCTCATTCTGCAGGCTGGAAAGTGAGGGAGACAATTACATTCAGAAGCAAACTTTAGCATTTTCTGAGTTTTAAGTTTGTCTTGCTGCATAAGGAACTTCATTTTTTTGAGGCAATAAAGGTTCAAACAGAGCTGTGGTTTGATTTAAAGCTACAAAGTGACCTTGTGTATTCCGACATTAAACATGCTGGGACCCAGAGCAATAAGCATGAGTTTATTGTGCAGGCAAACCGCTGCCCTGCTGCTACGCTGTTGCAACAAAACAGCATTTGGACAGATGTGGACTTGAATCAATAAGTGAACCTTAACTGTTTCTGATTTGGCAGTGACTGTTTTTCAGCCATCTAACCACAGCGTGTGAGTATCCCACGCTTTAATTAAGCAGACAAATTTTCTTTCCGTCAAACGCAGCATGTGGTCTTGAGATCATCCGGCTGAACGCTGGTATACTGTGGAAGGAGCACCACGTTTTGCAAATTAGCTGTAGCTACAACTAAAAACCATGTTACGGCTTATCTCTTGCACACTGTGTGTTACCACCAGAAATGATTTAACCGAGCCTGAACATTCCTACTGCACGGTACTTTATTGTAGACATTTAACTTTACACCTGATGTCAAATTTGATAACACACCAGTATATAACCAAAGAATGAGACCACACATCACATTTGAGGGTAAAAAATGTTGGTGTTTTTAAAATACCACTCAACTCAATAACATCTTTGTGAGTTTGAATTACATTCAGTTTGCCTCTGTTTCTCCATCTACTATTTGAGTCGTATTGTTCAGAGATGAAGCTAAGCTCTTTGCTGTCACTTATTAAATACACAGTGAAATAGGCTGGGACCTACTGCTACCAAATATGTGATTTATAAGTCAACTAAACTGACCATGCTATGATATGCAGCCAGAATAGTGTTAAGTAGTTGTTTTATGGATGAATAAATTTGAGTTTCTGTTAAGGGATGCTGTAAATCTGAACATTAGCTCAGACACGAAGTTCTTTGGCTTTAAAAGCTGTACAGAATAAAGATTTTGTTGCTGTGTAATCATCTCTGAAATCTGTGTAATGAACTCCAGCCGTCTCCTGAACCCACTGCTTGTCTTTTTACTGTCAGCTGACCATGGAGGCATGATACTAACTGACAGGTCTGGAGACTTGGTTTACGTTGTACCCCGAGCCAGATCGAATCTGTGCACAATGAGTCCCACATTGTAGATGGCATGTGAACAAAATTTTCTGGACATCCCCAAACTTCCCCATTGCTTTTTCTTATCCATTTATCAACACACAGCTTGTGCATGCTGAACAATAATGGCTTCAGGTCAAGAGGGGTAAGGCTTTAACCTGTGGTTGGATGCTATCAGTTTTCACTGGCAGACTTTGTGCTACAGGTCTTCTCTGAGCTACAGCTGGCTGAATGTGACCTGCCATTCACTTTATGGCTGCCATTTCAATATGATCTGCAAAAAAAAATCTGATCACATTTCCTTGTGCAGAGTCTGACTAAATGTTCATCTGCAAAATAGCGCAAGCAACCAGTATCCTGGGAATGTGAAAGAGGGCATAGAAGTGGTTTATCATTCAGGAAGTATTAACTTTTGGCTTTTCTTATTTGTAGAACAGCAAACTGAAAGACAAAAAGCATATCAGACTAGAAAAGATGCTTTATAGAAGGCATTGAGTGCAAAAACAAAAGGTAAAGATAGGTTGTTTTTTTTTAAAAATCACAGCATTTAGAGTAACTGCAAATTGAATATTAAAGGTGGCATGAGTGGAAGTCGCAAATGTATGTGAACAGATACAGATTCAGTCTTGTTGCCATGAATTTAGGCAATGACGCTTCTGCTCAAGCTTGTTTTGAAGTTTTTCTGCCCCAAAAAATCAATGAGTGCAACTTTAAACTAAAAACAATAGAAAAATAAATAAAATATCCTTTACACAGATAAAATCGCCTTTAGCCTAAGGTCTGAGTTACTTACTTTTAATTGAGTTTAAAGAGGTTCTCCACACTTACAAATGTTTTTTTAGCTGTAAACTAGATTATATGACTGTTCTGTAATGAAACACATCAGTGATGGTGTTATTATTGACATTCTTTCCAAATTTTGGAAGATCAACATTTTGTGGGTTGAAAATGGCTCAACATGCCAAATCACCCTGAACCTTGCAAGGCGAATGCAGACATAGAGTCAAACGTTTGGTAGAGATTTATTGAAAAAAAGGGAGAACACCCTCTAATGAGAGGAGGGCAGCCGCTTTGTGTGGGAGTCTGTAAACCACTGCGCTCAAAATGCATACAGATTGAGTTTTGTTTTGTTAAACTGCAACTTAGTTCTTTTCCATTTTGGCGCAGGGGTTCAGAGTTGTGCATTATATCTCTGTAAAAGCACCACTAGAAACAATTTCCCTTGAACCCTGACAGTCCCCCCACAGACACACACATATACCAGAGTCCTCTCTGAGTCGTTAGCTTAGCTACAATGTAACAGCCATGAATGTGCTTCTAGTGGCTGTAAAAGCTCCAGCGGTCTTTTCTGGTCAGTCTGTCAATCACTCCGGTTGGTGTCGAGGCCAAAGTGGCTGCCCTTTACATGTCTCCGATGCATTTTTTAAATTTGCTGAGAGGGAGAGAGCGGCCAGAATTGAAGGGTGCAGTTACACTTTAAATGTACCAAATGTACCATTTCGTCAGACTCTGCGTTGGTGTACATCTCCTGTGTCTTACCGAGTCCTTGATGCTGCCCAGCACCGCTGTGGTAAGGATGCCTGTGAAGAACGCCATGAGGTTCAGGCCAGTGAGCGTCCAAATCAGAATGTACAGAGTGAAAACTTCCTCACAGCTTCGTACTCCAACAAACTCATAGTAGTTGCTGAGGTAGCCTCCACTGCGGATCAAAACAACAGCTACGTTTATTATTTGAATACAATTCTGAAATGATAATTAGGACATTTTAACACCTAATGGGAGATAACATTGTAGGATAATGATGCTGTCTCACTTGGCGCAGTCGTACAGGTCGCAGCAGTAGCAGGTCCCACTTCGTACTGTCATGTTACAAGACTCCTGTGGGTTCCAACACGACACCTGAAAAAGGAGAGACAAGTATAAACTGTAGATATACAAAGACATGTCTTTCTAAAAGAAACTGGGGTTATATCTGATATTCAAATGTAGCGGGACCTTCCCGAGTTTCCCTCCATTGCAACTCAGATTGTAATAACTTGTCTGAATTAGTCTCAGGACAATATTGTTTATATGATTTTGTAGGTTTTACTCACAGTGGTGTAGAAATTCTCATAGATGTAGCCGCTGCCGCTGCTGTAATACTGACATCTACCTGCTTCCAGTGGACGCACATCCTGGCAAAAGTTAATATATGAAGAAATTTCATCCACAGGGTTTCATTTCAGAATAAACCGATCAATTTATATTACGAATAAAAAACATAAATAAAATAACAAAATGAACTGACATTTATTACACAAGATGATCCAGATGGCCGTGTCTACAGAATGACTGAAACACACATTTGAAGTGAGTGAACAGTGTTGAGTTTGGAGTCTGTTTGTGATCAATTTCCAAAAGTCCACTTCGAACAAAATATTGTTTAGGGCTGTTTTAAATTGGTAAAAAGAGGTTCACTTTACTGGAAATGGTTTCTCTGGTAAAATTCACATAAATCATGTTTGGTTTGAAATACAACATATGAGGTTTTGTCAGAGAGAGAACAATAAAGTCCTGGACTTTACTTCCATCGTTGTCTGTGGTACGATGTGTGTGGTTTGATTCAGAATAACACTGATGTCGACCTAAGTGGAGAAAAACCTTTCCCATCTATTGTACGGTGAAATAAAACACAACACAGGTAGTGACCCCCTGAAGGAGTTTATCTTAATACATTTGCTCCAATGTTTCTTGAAGTCTTTAACTATATGGTACAAATAAGTACCATGAAGATAAAACATATAATAATCTATGGTACAAAGAAGAGATAGTAAAAGAGATGTAATCCTTATCTGAATAAGAGAGATGGTGAGATAAGTTAAGATGCTGTGCTTTAACCTCTTGAACATCATAATTACTACAAAAACCACAATAATTTTAAGAATGTATTCTTAAAGGGAGGCTTATACTCATACTGCAACATCCTCTCATGTTTCAAATGGGAGAACTGGTGCCATTTATAATTACAATAAATCATATTTTAGTTTATTTTTCCCCCCCGATCACTTTGCTACGTCACACTGCTTGTAATTCTATTTATAACTTTGCTTTCATTATGAAAACAATTAGCCACACACACTCATTATGGTATATCTTAGTAGTATGCAGTCGGTTTAAGGAATAGTTGTATATTTTGGGAAATGTGTTTTCTTGCCGTGAGTTAGATGAGATGAAACGATGATGTATGTGCACTAAATATAAAGCTAGATGCAGCAGCTAGATAGCTTAGCTTAGCATAATGTTCATAATGTAACCCTCATTAATATCATAGATGTTCAGTATGGGTGCCAGTGATCTTCTGAGCAGTTTTAATCACCCACTGCAGAGCCCTCTTGGCCATCCCATGCCACAGGGATGTTATTCTTTATGTGCTGGAGAACCAGTTTGTTAAAGCAGAGCACTTCATCAGAATAGGTGTGAGTGCCACAGGGCGGTAGTCGTTTAGACTATATACCACAGGATTCTTAGGAACAGGGACGATGGTGGCTGTCTTTAAGCAGGTGGGAACATTCTCCAGTGATGTGTTTAAAATGTCAGTAATGACATCAACTAGCTGAATAGCACATGTTTTTAGTAGACGGCCAGGATGTTATCAGACCCAGCAGCTTTAGTCATCTTCACTCTTAGCAGGAGTTTTCTCACAGCCAGCAGCCGATCCTCTGAAGGAGGAGTTTACGACTTTACAGCTGACTCTTTGTTGAGGAGATGAAAGTGAGCATAAAATGTGCTTGGCTCATCTGGTAGCGTGGCCTCACACAAGATGGGGGTGCTGAGGCTTTTGTAGCCTGTGGTGTTTTGATTCATTGAGGTCTCTCTCCAGTCTCTGCTGGTGTCTCCACTTTGCCTCCTTGATGCCAGCTTTCACTCTTGCTGTGGCGGCGCTGTATGCTTCATTGTCGCCTGACCGAAAGGCAGCTTTTTTGGCTCTTGATAGAGCCCTCACCTCTCCATTCATTCAGGCTCAAAGGTAAACACATTTCATCCCCTCTCTACTGTCAGTATCTAAATAAAGCAAAATAAAAAAAACCTAGAGACCATGACCAGGACCACAAATTGTGGTTTTACGCGGGGGTTATGTGCTGAATGATTTGTCTTCACTGGTTGCCTGGCAACCTCAAGGTAATTACAAAATGTTTTAAACAGACAGTGAAGTCAGGTCAATGTTGCCAAATAGAAGGAAAAACAATCAAAACTCATAATAATCACATTATTCAAATATTTGTGGGTACAAATATAAAAGCAATACGTTATTGCTGTATGTAAAGGTTAAAGGGATTAGTGAGTGAGCACAAATCAGTGTGCAAGAGTCTGTAGTTTCTTCACACTCAGGCGTTTGCTGTCTAAGAACTTAGTCGTAACTGTACTCAATAATGTTTACCATTTAAAATGCAGAAAATGCCAGTCAAAACACAGTTAATTTAAAGTAGACAAAAACAAGACTATAGTGTAGATGGAGATGTGAATATATTGTTATTATTTTCTGAATAAAGAGGGAGTCTTCCACAATTAATTTCTACATTAAATGTATCTGTTTTAGTTTTAGAGGTTGAAAGAGGAATGCAGCTTTGCTTTTCTAACCTGTTAAATGTTCTTTTAGGGAGGCAGCTCTCTATTAAAGCAACATCAATCACATCCAGTGACCGTCTCATCAGATGTCTGGATGTATAAAGCCAAACATAACTAGACACTTCTACACTGATGGTGTATCTTAGTCCACATTATGCTTTTACAACTGGTAATTTACTTGGGAAGAACATAAAAAAACAAAGCTGGCAAATGATATAAAGACTGAGCTATAATTTGTGGGAACTCTTTTCATGGACACAATTGTGTCAATATTGCCAACAGAGCAAGGTTGGCGCTCGCTGCGAGCCAAGAGGCTGTCCAGGTGGATCAAAGTCAACCAGCACAGTGGTTTATCATTGCCTCACGGTCTACTATTGCTGCTTTGTTTCGTCATATAGTACAATGTTATGTTAAATGTTACAGTATACACATGCAAGTGCAGGTAACTCACCATGTTAAAGACAATACAGACGCCATCAATCACCAAGCAAACAAAAGACGAGATGATTCCAAAGCTGAGGAATATAATCGCAGCCGTCAGCTGGAGGAGGAAGAAGAAACAAAGTGTAAATGAGAGAATTTCCACATAAAATCTTTAAGATACCAGATATAAAAACTAGTGTTATTTGATCAGAATGACAATTTACTATTACGGCCAAGATCTTTTTCTTTTTTCTTTCCAACAGATGCATGCCAATCACATTTCTAAACGAGCCAAATATGCAACAGCACATTTAACTTATTTGTCTGATAGGTGTTTCTTTACAAGGCAGCTGGCTCAAAAAACATATAGTTTATTAACTCTTCAAATGAAGAGAATATTGTTTTCAGTGTTTTTCAATAC